ATTTGTTGTGATTGTGCCCAGGTGATGGGTGCATTTTGGGCGGGGCGTGACTACGTTTCCGGTGATCCAGCGCTTCTGCGGCGAAGCCCAGATCGGTGTTTCCGACCCAGTGTCACGCGTTCTTGCACTGGTCCTGCTGTGTGAGCTGAGAACATACCAGGGACTGGCGACGTATCAGGCCCTCCAGATTTGGAATGGGGCGTCGACGTAGCGATACACAACGGCATGGTGGGAAGCACCTTTGCTGCGGGGGAGGTCGGCCAGGAGTGGTTAACCCCCAAGAGTCTGTAAAGAAACCCGCCCCGCAACAGTGGGAAACTACATATTTGTTTGGCAATCTTCTTGACGGACTGGGGCCCCGACAACAACGGAACCTGATTATTTGTTCCCGCCGCCGCCGACGACGACAATACCGACGACGACTACGAGGAGGAGGAGAAGGAGGAGGAGGAAAGAAGGAGGAGAAAATGAAGGAGAACGCACTGAAACTCTCAAAGGCTGAATGCTCTGAAACGCATGGATCGGAAACTCATTGATCTGAAACTCATTGCTCTGAAGCTCATACCTCTGAAACTCATTGCTCTGAAACTTATTGCTCTGAAGCTCATTGCTCCGCAACTCATTGATCTGAGACTCATTGCTCGAGAATTTTCTCAAAAGCTTATTGCCCTGAAACTCTCAAAGGCTTACTGCTCTGAAACTCATTGCTCTGAAACTAAACTGCTCGGAGACTCATTGCTCTGGAACTCATTGCCCTGGAACTCATTGTTCTGGGACTCATTGCCCTGAAGTCCATCGGTCTAAAACTCAGTGCTCCGAAACTCATTGCTCTGGAACTCATTGCTCGAGAACTTTCGCAGGGGCCCATTGCTATGTAACACTCTCACTCTGAAAGCTCAAGGACTCACAACACTCTCACGAAAAACATACCAAGAAGCTATGTTCCTCGCCCTCCTCCTTCTCCTCCTCCTTCTCCTCTTTCTCCTCCCAATCATCCTCCGATACTTCGATTATTATTGCAAGCCTTGGTAGATAGAAGCTAAACATTCCTCTCGCGTGGAGGGTAGCCCATGAGGCATTGTCCGATGGGGAAATGACCGTCCCCCATTATTCAGCACGGCGCGCACGAGTGGGAAACTAATGTCTTTTCCTCCTCCTCAGCACCCTCCTCCTCCGAATCATCCTCTTCCTCCTCCCCCCTCCTCCTCCTCCTCCTCCTCCTCCTCCTCCTCCTCCTTCTCCTCCTCCTCCTCCTCCTCCTCCTCCTCCTCCTTAGCTCCTCCTCCTTCTCCTCCTCCGCCTCGTCCTCCCCGTCCCCCTCCTCCTCCGCCTCCTCCTACTCATCCACCCTATCCTTCTCCTCCTCTTCATCCCTCTCCTCCTCCTCCTCCTCCTCCTCCGATGCGTCGATTCGCATTGCAAGCTTCCCTACGAAACAGCTCGGAATTCCTTTCGCGTGGAGGGTAGCCCTGGAGGCATTCGTCCACCATGATTCAGCACGGCGCGCATTAGTGGGAAACTAATTCCTCTTCCTCCTCCTCCTCCTCCTTCTCCTCCTCCCCTTCCTCACCCTCCTCATCCCCCCTCCTCCTTCTCCTCCTCCTCCTCTTCCTCCTTAATTTCTCCTCCTCCTCCTCCTCCTCCATCGTATCCGTGTCCTCCTGTTCCTCCTTCCCCTCCTCCTCCGATGCATCGGTTCCGATTGCAAACCCTGCTACGGAAAAAACTCTACATTCCTTTCGCGTGGAGGGTCGCCCAGGAGGCAGTGTCCGATGGGAGAAATAACCGCCCACCATTATTCGGCACGGCGTGCATTAGTGGGAAGCTAATTCCTCCTCCTCCTGCTCCTCCTGCTCCTCCTGCTCCTCCTCCTCCTCCCTCCTCCCTCCTCCTCCTCCTCCTCCTCCCACTTCCTGCTACTCCTTTCCCCACCTCCACACCCTCCTCCTCCTGCTCTTCCTCCTCATCCTTCTCGTCCTCCTTCTCGTCCTCCTCCTCCTCTCCTCCCTCCGACTTCTACTCCTCCTCCTCCTCCTCCCCCTCCTCCTCCTCCTCCTCCTCCTCCTCCTCCTCCTCCTCGTCCCCTCTCCTCTTCGCCTCCTCCCTCCCCCCTCCCTCCTCCTCCTCCTCCTCTCCTCCTCCTCCTCCTCCTCCTCCTCCTCCTCCTCCTCCTCCTCCTCCTCTCCTCCTCCCTCCTCCTCCTCCTCCTCCTCCTCCTCCCCCTCCTCCTCGTTCTCCTTTTCCTCCTGCTCCTCCTCCTCCTCCTCCTCCTCCTCTTCCTCCCCCCTCTCCTCCACTCAGCTCAGGTAGCTGGGTTCCATTCAGTTATGCCTCGCCAGTGCTTGCAAGAAAGCTTCTTGACCCTAGCAAGAGGAGGAGCAAAAGGAGGAGGAGGAGGAGGAGGAGGAGGAGGAGGAGGAGGAGGAGGGAGGGAGGAGGAGGAGAAGGAGGAGGAGGAGGGTGGGAGGAGGGAGGGCCAGTTTATTCACAGCCGAGAGCTCCAGCGGGGGGGCAAAACTAAAGACTTCTCGAGGTTATGGATCGACAACGTGGTACACGAGGAGAGGCAGGCTTTGGAATTACACGGCACTCCGTCGTTGCCCTTCATACTCGCTTGCGGCATCGCTTTTCTCTGCCTCTCTTCAACGCCCTCATCCGCGACCTGCGCGACATCATTGCCGAAATGGTGCCAGGGGATGCTGCCGCCTCCCTCCCCTTGTGGACCCGCGAGGCATCAGTCTTGGCAGGCGCGGCGGTGCCGGCGCAGTCCTTGGATCGCCCGTCATCTGCCAACGCTCACGGGCGCGAAATTCCCCAGCAGGTAGCGGCTGTGCTGCGGAACGCGGAGGGGGCGGCTGCTGCCCCGGCGTCGATTGTGGCTGCTGCGCTGGCGGCTCTCCCTCGTTTTGCAGACCGCCTCGCTGTTATCCACTTGCTTGGCGCCGCTAAGGCTCATTCTGGCACAATGCATCGCTGATTACATCGCCGAGTGCCTATCGGTCGGGAGCCTGCGGGCGATCCTCGACCAACGCATCCCATCCGTTTCCGTTTTATACGCGCAGAGGGCCAAGGCAACGTTTCATTTCGGGGCTTGGTCGTGCGCGGCAGCCCAGTGTGTGACCCGGCAGGCATGTTTTTGAATTCTGCGTCTCCAGCGAGCTGCTTGGCATCAAGCTGGACGAAGACATGTCATTCATCCCTTCTGCGCGCTCGTTGCTGGCGCGTGGCCAGGCTGTTTTCGACGATTTCCCCCCAACAACAGAGGCTAGGGCTTCCCAGTGCCGGTACTCGCCGCACAGATCCCGTCGCGGACTGAGGGCACGATCATGTTTGAAGCCACGCTCTTGTTGGGTGTTCCGAAGGTGGAGGCGGACCTCAACAACTCATAAAACTACGGGCCCGCGCCACGCTGGGGGGCCGGCAGGGCCCGCGCCTGAACCGAGCTCTGTCCAGGGCGAAGTGCGGGTGAGATTTGCGGCTCGGCACTCCCATGATTGAGCATGCTTTGATGGCGCGCGCGCGGCCATGGCTGCTGCCCGTCGTCATGCGCGATGCCGCCAGGGCTTCCACGGGGGGGCTTGCCCAACATCGTGAATGTGCACTCTGATGCAGTGCCCTGAACTGTTGCTTCGCCAGCAGCGCGAAAGGCCCTCCTGCGGCGCTACAAAAGGAATGTCGTCCGCAGGGACCTCCGCTCTTACGACCGCGAGGTGTACGAGGCTGCGGCGCGACACCTTGTACCAAGTTTCGGGGATCCTTCCTCTTCCTGCCAGCCGGTAGCTGGGATGCGGGGGCGGAACTGCATGCGTCAGAAGTGGTTGGCTCACTGCGTTTGCGTTTATGGGCTGCTTGCCGAATATCTGACTACCTACCAGACCACCCCAACCCAACCCGAAGACCCGAATTTGACCCGAATTTCGGGTTGGGGGGGTACGGATACCATGTGTTTTCTCAACGTTCCCCGACCCCCCCCACTGGAAATCGAGGATAAATTTGGGCCTTCGGGTTGGGTTGGGGTGGTTTGGTGGGTGGTGAATATCAGGCACATGGCTCCTTCCAGTCCTTGGACCTCGGACATGACGACGCTCCTGAGCAGCTGGATCGTGGCCGCGCTTGCCCCCCGTGAGGCTGTGCATGGTCTCCCACGCCCCGGGCGGCGCGCGCGGGCACGGAGGCGCTTCGCGAAGAGCTCTGGCGCAGCCCCCCCCCCCTTGTTGGACGCCCGAGATGGGCACGGACAAAAATGAAGGGGCCCTGGGACACACAAATAAATACACACAAATAAAACTATTACCCATATTTTCCCATATTTTCTGGGTTTTTGTCTTCCCCCCCACTTCCCATATTTTCGCATATTTTCCTGGGAGTCGACGATTAATTGTGTCTGTGTTTTTTCCCTCCTAAAAAAAGGGGGGCACAATATGCCCAACAACAAGGGCTGCCCCGAAAACCGACCGCGGCCGCTGGCGCCCCCGCACCCGGCCGCGGACACGGGAGCGGCGTGCGCCCCGCGGCCCGCACACGCGCGCACGCCCTGCCTGCGGTGGGCGGCCTGCACGGGGCCCCGGGGCGGCGGCGGGCCTGCCCGGCGCCGCAGGCGGCGGGCTGCCGGCGGCCGCTGGCGCCCGTCCGGGGCGGCAGGGCGACGCGCACCGACTCGTGCCCAGGGCGGGCGCGGCCCCGCCGCGGCCGGCGCGCGACCGCGGGAGCGCCACGAGGAGGAAGCGAGGCACAGCGAAAGAGAGAGCGAGAGGGAGGGCATAGAGAAAGGGATAGGGAGAGGGAGAGAGGGAGAGGGAGAGAGGGAAAGGGAGAGAGGGAAAGGGAGAGAGAGAGAGAGGGAACGAGAGAGCGGGAGGAGAAGGAGGGAGAGAGAGAGAGAGGGAGAGCGAGAGAAAGGGAGTAGGAGAGAGGGAAAAAGAGACAGACAGACAGACCGAGAGAGAGAGAGGGGGAGAGCTGGAGGGAGGGAGGGGCAGGGCGGGCGCGGCAGGCAGGGCCTGCTCCACGCGCCAGCGGGACAGCGTGACCTTGAAGTCGGCCACCTGGCGGCCCGCCCCGCCCCCCACCCCCCTTGCCCCTTCTGGGCGGAGGGGGGGGAAGTGGCACGCCGCGGGGCTGGAGCGGAGTGGCGGGGGGTGCTCCATGAGAATGGACTGGAGGAGGAGGAAGAGGAGGAGGAGGAGGAGGAGGAGGAGGAGGAGGAAGAGGAGGAAAAGGAGGAGGAGGACGAGGACGAAGAGAAGGAGGAGGAGGAGGAGGAGGAGGAGGAGGAGGAGGAGGACGAGAATGAAGAGGAGGAGGAGGAGGAGGAGAAGAAAGAGGACGAGGATGAAGGAGAAGGACGAGGACGAGCAAGATGGGTGCCACTACGCTGGGGCGCGCCGGGTCGTCGACAACGATGGCTGGATACCTCGACAACCGAACGCGGTCACAGACACCGGCCTCGGAACATGAAGAGGACCCGAACCGCGTGGGCAACCCTCCACATTTTTGTTGGACGCCCCAGTCTTTGCCGCGATATAGGACACGTTACACTCGCGCACCCTCTGAGGAGAAGCTGCCAGATGTGGGGACACTCCAGGATTCACATCCAAGAGTTCGTGAGGGTCTCAAGCGGTTTGCCTGCTTCTGCCCCCCAGACGTATTTTGCTTGGCGGTGCAACGCACACCGCGACATAGCAAGCGTTGCAGCTGAGCACCCCGATGGGGGAACCGCAACAAGTCAGGACAATCCAGGGTTCGCGCCCAGATTGTGGGGATAGCTCAAGCGGTTTGCCTGCTTCGCCCCCCTCAGACTTCTCCCCCCCTCATCCCCCTGCTAGCAGTGGGAACCATGAGTGCCACCTTTCACGCCATGTGTTCTTGCCCGAGCTGCCGCAGTGCGAGCGACAAGAAATATCCCCCCGCGCTATTCGGCTTGCGCTTCCATCGCCTCTCCTGAAAAATATCTGGGGGAGAAAGGCATCACTGATCTCGTCGCTGTCGTCGCAGCCTCTCCCGCCTTCGTCGTCTACGCGGACTCGGACTCGCCTTCGCAACCAGACGTTCAAAGACACAGTCCCTCAGCGGGACGTGCCATGAATATCATATGCACATACGGGGATGCCCGCATCGATCATGTTGGAGTTGTGGACTTGTCGCGCGGTGCACTTCATGATACGTGGGCGGTCATGCGGTGGTGCACGTTTGGCTTGCGCTCAAACCATCCAAATTCGGAGCAAGCAAATGCAGCGGCTTCGATCAAGACGTTGCCGTTATCCTTGTGCTCCATTGATGCCGGTGCAGCTGCTCCCCCCCGTTGGTGCGATGACGGGGCTGGCCGCCTTGCAGTCGTGCGCGGTCCCAGCAGCGGTGCACTTTCGGTGAAAACGCACTACAAGTGCACCATCGTAGAAAGCGCATCTTTGGCGCAAGTGCGCCAAAAATGCACCAAAAGTGCACCATCGTAGTGGTGCAAATTGTTTGCGCAAGTGCCCTCGCAGTGCACCAGAAGTGCACCGTCGTAGTGGTGTACACTGTACGCAAGTTCCCTCGCAGTGCACCAAATGTGCACCATCGTAGCGGTTCACTGTTATACTGTCTGCGCCACACACCCATCGTGCACCATCGTAGTCGTGCACCTGTTGCGCAAGAGCGCCAACCATAAACACTCGAATTGCGCCTCCAAAGTAACAATACATCGCGCACTGTGTTGAAAGCGCACCTTGACAGCAGCGAAACTGAAATCCTTCAAATGTGTGATAGGCTACGCAAGTGCATGACCGTCCAGTTTCAAATCACCTCTATCCTGACACGACTTTGCACATAATGCTCCTTGGGGCTTTGCATATCCAACGACTGCAAGTATGGAGGGCCGCTTCTTTTCGGCACCGAGCTGTCGCATGGGACATCCAATCGTACTGTGATCATCAAGTTCGGACGGTCCAACAGCATGTCCTTTCGAAATCCAACTATTTATAGCTGCGGGATCGCTTAGATCTCGGTCCCGGTGTAGTGATCTTAAGTATTCAACGATTGCGATGACGAGGGGCGAATCATTTTCATGTTCAGGCTGTCGATTCGGAGCCGAGCGAAGGTTCATTGAAGTTCTTCCCGGCTGCATGCAAGGACCGCGACTTACTCGCGCATTCATGTGCGCTGTAACGCTAGGCCACGTGTCGGGAACGGGCAGAAACACTCTCTTGCAGATCACCCTTACGTGAAAACGGCCCAGGACTATACCTGTCGGGCGCAGGCTGGCCAAGATTGCGACCGCATCGCCCTCTCCAGAATCGAGAATCGAAAAAGAGGGCTTCGCTCATCCCCTTGGCAAGGTGGGAGCTCCACCTACCTCCGAGGTAACGCCTTGTATCGTTACGCTGCCGCATGCTGCGGTCGGAAATTTCTGCCTCGTGTGTCGAGGCGGCGCCCCCGGCGACACGCCATGCCCTTCGAGCTGATGGCGGCTCACTCCGCTGCGCGGGGCGGGAGGCTTCGAAAGGCTCGGGCTTAGCTGCCCCGACACGCAACACGCAACACGTAGCGTACGGATACGGAGCTCAACACGTAGACCCAACACGTAGGTCTGACGCGGTACGCTCGCCAAAAAGTAGGCCAAAACGCTGAGCCAACACGCAGCGTATGGGCACGGACGTGTTGAACACGACGCGTGTCGCGTATCAAAACGGGCGCATCGAGGCAGCCAAGGGCTCGGGACGCTGACGATGGTGCACCGGGACGCGGTTCGCGCGGCGCGCCGCAGCGTGGCTGGCCCGAGCCGGCGGCGCGACACGCGGAGCACAGGCTCCTGAGCGTAGCTGGACCGCTGACGCGCCTTCTGCAGCACGCAGTGCTCTCGCCAGGCAGGCCCACGGGTCCCTCGTGCTCTCCAACCGGGCCCCCGCAGCAGTGGGGCGAAAGTTCACCTGCGCTGGGCCGCGGGTGCTGGGCGTGCTCCCGTCCTTCCGCCTCCAGAGCCTCCCCGTCCTTCCTCCTTCCTCCTCCTCCAGCTCCTGCTCCAGCTCCTCCTCCAGCTCCTGCTCCTCCTTCTGCTCTTCCTCCTCCACTCTGTGCCGCAATGCTCCGTCCTCCGTCAGGTCCTCACTCTGACCTTGTTCTCATCCAGCTCCTCTTTCGCTCTCCCATCCCTACCTTCCTCCCTCTGACTTGCGCCTATCAGTCCTTCTCATTCTCACCTTCTGTTGCGTCGTGTGGGGACCTCGTCTGTCCCGTCGCGCTGTAATTCACATCGAATCCATGTCGAACTCGTCGAATCTGTGTCGAGTTCATGTCGAATTCGCTTCGAATCCCGTCGAACTCGCATCGAACCCGAGTCAGCACAAGAAACGAGAAAGTTGAAGACAGATAAGCTCCCCCGAAGATGCACCGTACGTCTTCCGACTCCGCAGGGCGTGGTCTGCAAAGGGTGCAGTTTACAACATGCGCCCCGGGGGGAAGGCGAGATCTCGACAGAGCTCTCCGCCGCGCCCCGACGAGGGCTCCTCAAACTCGTGAAGCCTCTTGCGCAGCCTGGTGCCCCCGCCGTGCCAAAACGGGGGAGACCAAACGGTACCGATGCCGCTACTCCACGGACCTCTCCCAGGGTGCGCTCCGACCAGGGCTTCTACGCGAATCCGGCGGCGGCGACGAGGCCCTCCCCCCCCCAAAGGCACAACGAGGGGAAAACAAGGCGAGGGGCAGCGGCATGGGCACCCTTTTCCTCCTCCGACCTAGCCCCCCCCCAAGCCCAAACGGCGCAGATCGCAAGGCGCAACGGCACCCGCGGCAGTAGCCAGCGTGCTGCCAAGGCGAGAGCGCTGCGTGAAAGAGAGGATGGGGCTCTCCTGGGCCACCGCGAGCCTCGGCTTCGCACCCGGCTCTCCAGGGCCCTGGATCGGAGGAGCGGCCAGAGAAAAACAGACCCCCTTCTTCGAGTCGGGGATCGACTACAGAATTGATTTACCCCACTATTGGTTTCCTCGTCGATTTTTTGTTTGCAAAAAAGGGGGGCATCAATTCTGTAGTCGATCCCCTACTCGACTTCGGAGTCCGACGGTGTCCTTCCCAGACACCCTCCGTCGCGATTTGTTCCATAGCGTGGCAAGTCTTGACCCCATCCTCAGGACCGGGCTTTCTCTCTGATCCCTTCGGGATGTTTCGCAACGAGAGGATGTCAGGGTCCTCCTCCCCAGACATCCGACGTCGTGGCTCTTGTTGCAGCGTGGCTCCCCTTGAGGTCGGGACCCCATCCCCGAAGCCAGCTCTTCATCCTGCGTCGCGTTGCGGGGCCCGATGAGGGCACCCAGAGGCCAGCGGGCAAACCTCTGCGCGATTGCATGGCAGCGAGAAGATGACAGGGTTGTGATCGTGCTGATATGACCGCGGCGGTTGCTCGAGGGACAGGGGGAAGCTGAGCTGTATCTGGACCACATAACTGGGTTGCAGGTGTACTACAATGAAATGGGGCTCGACCGCTCCGCTAAGTGGGCGGAGCCCCCACTTGGCCGGATCGTGAACCGCCCCAGATCACTCAGGGCACCTAATACCCCACTGAGAAGCCACGAGCAGGCCAGATAAAACCCACCTCAGCGACCACTTCTGAGCCCTGCATCTCCTCGGCACCCCCCCGCGGTCCCTTCAGCAGCCGCCGCAGGAGAGGACTGCCCAGAGGGGCGGCGGGGGGTCGGCCTGGGACTCCTGCAGCCCGGTCTGCTCGGCCTCCTCGACGCGCAGGGGGCGAAGAACAGAGAGCGCCGGCGCGGAGCCGCCGTGCGCTGGCGAAGGTCCCCCCCCCGCCCTGGCCATCGCTCGGTCGTCCATTCCCTGTGCTTTTTTCGGTTCCCTGCGTGGTTGTTTCGTCAAATGATCAAGGATGCTCCTCGATGGCCCTCGCCGAGGGAAAGATGCACACGTCCGAGCGATGCCAAGCGCCCTCGTCGTCGTCCTCATCTCGGCGTGCCTCGGCGGCGGCCCCGGCGGCGCGCTCTGCCCTGCGACAAGGGCAGCGTGTCGCTCCGCTCCGAGGGGTGGCCTGCTGGGGCAAGGCTCGGGACGCAGGCGCCCTGGGGGCAGCGTGCCGGAGCAGCGAGCACCCTCCGAACCCGAAGTGGTCCCTCTGCAGGGGCCTCCCGGATGGGGTCCGAGCAGGTGGGGTCGGAGGATCTCGCCGCACCCCCGATGCATCGCTGATGCACCTCGGCGACGCATCGGCGATGCACTGGCGACGTCGCCGATGCACCGGCGACGTCGGCGTGGAGAAAAGCGGGCTCCACATCGAGCCGCATCGTCGATGCATCGGCGATGCGGCGCGATCCTCCGACCCCATCCGCTCCGACCCCATCTAGGAGGCCTAGATTCTGTCAGCGTCTTGACTGTACTCGCCGCGCGACCGTCCAAGGTCAGTGGGGGGGGAACCTTGGCGGGCACTCCTCGTGGCCTTTGCGTCGGGCTTCCGAAGCCGCGGAGACTCCCGAGCCCTCCAGGGACCTCTGTGGACCTCCGCGGGGACATCCGAGGCAAAACTTACGTGCAGAAAGGCTGCTGAGATAAGGAGCGCTAAATCAGGAGCGAACCCACTTTTTGGCGCCAACAGCGCCTGGGTGCACGAGGACGGCCAGAGGAGCAGCAATGGAAGGATCCAAGGACCAGCGAGCCCCTTCCAAACCCAAAGCGGTCCACTTCAACGTCTCGACTGCACCCGCTCCTCCTCGCCCGCCTCGCTCCTCGCCCCTCCTCGTCGTTCTCCTCATCCTCCGCTTGCCTCTCCTCGTCGTCGTCCCCCTCCTCCTCGTCCTCCTGCTGGCTCTGCGGTCGGTCATGGAGCAAAGCCCCTTGCGCCTGACGAGCAGCAGCGGTAGCGTCGTCGTCGGCCAAATCCTCCTAGCCAACGTTTTCTTACAAATTCCTTGTCTTTCTATAAAAATGCATGGTCAAATTTGCTTTACTCTTTACCTATCCTCGTCCTCCTCATGGCCTTCCTCCCTGCACGTCGCTCGCCCCCCCTCGTCCTGGGAGGAGCACGATGAGGGGGGATCGGAGGATGATCAAGGCGGTGAGGATGATCAAGGCGGTGGATGGAGGGGAGGGGGGGGAGAAGGGGGGAAAGGGGGAGAAACGAGGGAGGGAGGGATGCGAGCGAGGAGGAGGAGGACCTTGAGACGCGAGGGAGGTGGAGAGGAGGAGGAGATAGGAAGGAAGACGGAGGAGAAGGTGGAAGGAGGAATCCCGAGGAGCAGATGCGGGAACGACGGGCAAGCGCAACCAGCTGTATGCGATGGTTTGACCGGTCGCCTCCCGAGGCTGCAACCGTTTGGCCGGTCCAACGTTGCAGCTCTGCCACCCGCAAAATTCGTCAGACGCACGCTTGCAGTTTCGCCGGCGTGTCGATCGACACGTGGTCCGTCTGTTCGTAAACTGTGTGAGGCGTGCGCGTGCGTTCCATCCTTGCGCGCTGTCGAATCATTGGCTTGGCGCGTTCACATGCAGTCCCTGCTTAGGAAGCAACTACTGGGAGGTGCTCGTCGGAAAGATTGCGGAGAATTGAGCCCCATCTGGGAGCTATTGCGCCGGGGTGGGCCTCGGACTAAGCGGGGTTAGGCCAGATTCAGCGGGATTAAGCCAGACTTCGGACCGCTGCAAAATCAGAACTTGACCTCCCAAAAGCTGCATCCCAACCCCGCGGCCTCGGGAGCGGCGTGCCGTGTCCCGAGCAGCGGGGATACCACACAGCAGGCCAGGCGTGGTTTTGCAAGGCGCCGCGAACATCATTGCGCTGCCGGGGCTCCCGATTTACCCCCGACCCTGTTGCGAAAAAACCGTCAACATCTTTCATAATGCAGGACGAGGAGGCGGCGACGCAAGTTCGATCTGTCGGCGTGCTGTCTCGAAGGCCCACCCGGAACCAACCACCACACGTCCCCGCGCGGCAAAACTGGAATTTTGGAAGGAGTGAAGAATACTACAGTGACAAAGAAGCGGCGACGGACGCAATTTCGACCTGTCCGCGTGCTGTCTCGAAGGCCCACCTGAGACCAATCGCCACAAGCTCCCGCGCGGCAAAACTGGAATCTTGGAGGGCGTGGCGCGGAGGGAGGAGGAGCACAAGGGCCAGAGAGGGGAGGGAGGAAGCAAACCCAACTCTCCGACGGTATGGTGTCTTCAATCTCGCAATTTTCGTCGAATTCGGCGTCTGGGGCCCGTTATTCGACTTCACGCAGGAGTGACCCTAGGCAAGAGTGACCTTTGGTTCGCGGCTTTCTGGGCGCCGCGGGGGGAGCCAAACCTGGGCGCGCAAGCTGCTGCTAATGCAACGCGCCCGGCGATCGGGGGGGTCCCATGCGCCCGCACCAGGTCACTCTGGCGATAGGTCACTCCTACGTGTAGCCGAAAGCGAGAGGGGGCAGGCCTTCTCAGCAGGCGGCGATGCTTCCCAGGAGCCCTCCGAGCTTCTGTTAGGCAGTCTGCGTCTCCGAGAAGGAGGCTTAGAGCATGTCTCAAAAGGCCGGAGGCCTTCCGAGACATGAGCCTCCGTGTAAGAGCGACCCTTCGCCAGGGTGACCAAAGGTCACTCTGGTGGAAGGTCACTCTGGCGCGTAGTCGAATAGCGGGGCCCCGGGACCATCGGAGAGGGCCCCGGGCCCCGTACCCCGTGAAATGATGGGCCCTGGACGGAAAACTGCCCATGGGGAAGGTGTCGGGACCGCTGCCACGGTGAGGGGCAACGACAGGGGGGGCGCTGGCATACAGGGGGGGATGCATCGACCTGGAATCGGCGATACTTCGCCGATAGATCGGCGACAAGCCTACGATGGCGAATCCGCACCTTCCTGGGCAGGGGTGGGGCTGCTCTGTGTCCCTCACTAGTTTTGGGGGTACCTGTAGTCTGGGGGGGGGGTACCTATAGTCCAGGGGGGGGGGGTACTTGTAGTCCGGGGGGGGGTACCTGTAGTCCGGGGGGGGGGGGGGGGGGTACCTGTAGTCCGGGGGGGGGTACTTGTAGTCCGGGGAGGGGGGGGCATATGGTCATGCCTCAAAGCACGCGTGGTTCCACGCACGCGGGTGTTTAGTACTTACGCGCGCGGGACCTCACGCGCATCGTTGGCGGGCCGCTTTGGCTTCCAGAGACTACGTAGCGAACGCGGGGGGGGCTTGTAGCTCCGAGGGCTATAAGGGGGTACCTGTAGTCCAGGGGGGGGGGGGTACCTGTAGTCCGGGGGGGGTACTTGTAGTCCGGGGGGGGGGGTACCTGAAGTCCTGGGGGTGGTACCTGCAGTCCGGGGGGGGGGTACCTGTAGTCCGGGGGAGGGGTACTTAAGTAGTCTGGGGGGTACCTGTAGTCCGGGGCCCCAAGACTGTTGAGGGACACAGAGCATCGGGCCTTGCCGACGATCCATGGGCGATGGAGGGTCGACGGCGTCCTCCCTGTGCCCATCCCCCCGTACACCGTTGCCCCTGCCACGCACGTCGAAAACAACACGTCGCAGGGCGCCCGAGAAGGCCGAGGGCCCCCGCCTCCCGCGGCGCGCCCGTGTGCGGCGACGCGTCGGCCCCGCCGCCGCACCCTCGACCGGCCTCCCGGAGGCCCGCCCTCCACCCGCGCCGTCGACCTCCTGCGGGGGCCCCCCCCCGGGGGGCGGGGACGCGGCCCCGCCGCAGGCCGACGCAACATACGGCGGCAGAAGCCGGCCGTCGCGATGGCGCTGGCGCCGCGCGGATCGGAAGGAGCCGCCGACGGGTCGGGAGGGCGGAGGCCTCCGACATGGGGTGCGGGTGCCCTCCTCCTCCGCCTTCCGTGCCTTCCGACCTCCGCGGAAGGTGCGGACGGACTCACAGAAACGCCTGGAAGCCTGACGCAACTACAGGAAGCCCACACAGGTCCCATCGAAAAGATGGCGGCAGGCTAGGGCGCCAGGTCCACAAGAAGGAGAGGGGGAGGCCAGGTGGGCCAAGAAGAATACGAGGGGGAGGGTAGGTGGGGTTAAAGCATCGCGCCGCGTCCACGCCGCAGCGCCGAGAGGCCTGCCGAAAGCGCAGCCCCCGGCACGCCGCGCGCGCGGGGGGCCCCGCGGGCCCTGGCCTGGAGAGCCGCGGCCAGGCCGTCGGCGTCCCTGGCGTCCGACAGGCCCTGCGCACGGCCGCGGGGCCACGACGACGCCAACGACGGCGACGGCGACTGGGCGACTGCGACGGCGACGGCATCGACGTCGACGTCGACGTCGACGTCGACGTCGACGTCGACGACGACGACGACGACGACGACGACGGCGACGGCGACGGCGACGACGACGACGACGACGACGACGACGACGACGACGACGACGACGACGACAACGACAACGAGCGGCGGCGGCGGCGGGGCCGCGACGGCGGCTGCTCGAGACGCCGACGACGGCGACGAAGGGCCTTTCAAGGCTCGGCGGCGCGCGGGGGGGGGAAGTGCCGGCCGGAAAGGCAAGCGTGGTGACCCTAAGCAAGAGTGACCTTTGGTGCGCGGCTTCAGGTGGGCGCGGCGGGGGGGGGGGGGAAGGCAAGCCCAAGCGCGAAACCCGCTGCTATCGCATCGGTTTCAGCGATCGGGGGGCCCCAGTATATGCCCGCTACAGAGGTCACTGCGGCGAAAGGACAATCCTGAGTGTAGCCGAACATAGACATGGGGCAGGCCTCCTCAGAAGGCGGCGGGGCTTCCCAGGAGCCCTACGGGCTTCTGAGAGGCCGTCTGCGTCTCCGAGAAGGAGTCTTAGAGCATGTCTCAGAAGGCCGGAGGCCTTCCGAGCCTTCTAAGAAGGCCCACCCCTTCTTATGGTTCACCCCTGGGCTCGCCGCCCGAGCGCGGCCCCAGATGCCAGCGGACGGTTGATGTGATCCTCTTGGCGCGCAACGCTTGGTGCCCAGGCCGAAGCCCCCATTCCCGCCCTGGGTAACGGTGACGATCGTACGTGGGTGGAGGCCAGTCCACAAGAAACCTCCCACAAGAAACCCAACCCGGCCCAACCCTGAGACCCCAGGACGTCCATTGATTTT